AGAAATATTAGGCAATGAAAGACTTGTTTGAAACTTAAAACACTATACAAAAAATATTGGTTTACCTCTTGATCGTAGACAAAACATTCTCTATTCTTTATTTGTTTACCTCCTCTATTTTCTGGTATTTAATAACTTCTCATGCACCTCACTCATATTGCTCTCTCAATATGCAGAGGGCCAATATCTTTAACACCAATATACTGAGATGGCATGGTATCTTTGCCTAGATTTTTGGTTCTTTGTTTCTAATTTGCAGTGGTTCAAACTGGAGAGATGGTGAACTTGTGAGTGAATATTGATATCAAGGGAGCTTTATATAGAAGCTGAAAATTGTTTTTCAATTTTGAATACTGTCTATGAAGCTAAGGCTGATGGAAACGTTTCAAGACCCCAGTTTACATTCGAACATATTCTTTATTCGAAGCATTTTCTCCTATAATTGTATGTATATAGAGATGTGTAATATCTGTATGCGTATATCTGTAAATAAATGTAAATTATAGGTTAGCTTCTTTCGAATCTAACCTATTAATGTGTATTGTGTATTGTGTATTGTGTATTACCAATGTAAATAAATGTAAATTATAAGTTAGCTTCTTTCGAATTTATAGGTTAGCTTCTTTCAATGTCACTACTATATGTATAAAACTAATGCTCACAAATATATAATCAAGCTGAACTATAAAACTGAGGTCAAGGCAATAAAATCAAAAGGTTTTCCTATTAACATATTTCCTCTAGAGAGGAATGGATGTTTGAAAGATCCTACTGAAGTCAATGATAAGCTGTTGTTTGGTAAATAATTTCTTCATTTTATGCTATCTTTTATTAAATATTTAGGATCAATCTTGATGTATTTTCTATATTTAAAAATGTAACAAGTAGAGTAGTTGAAATTCATGCTCATGTTGACAAAATCATTGGTGGTAAACCAGTCAAGCTAATAGACTTCAAAATTGTTGACAATGAGTAAGCTGCATACAATCCATCTATTCATTTCTTTAAAATGAGAATCTGTATTTCTAACAAATTTACATATAGGAAAAATACATTAAAATGCACAGTGTGAGACAATCATGTAGATGTCATGCTACCATTCTATAATGCAGATCCGAAAGAACCCCTCATTGTGGTTATTCAGCTTTATCGTGCTAAAATTGTGAATGATAAATTATCCTATTATATGTTCTTTATTATTTTTTTTTATGTTTTCATATTAAATAGCATATTATTTGATTAAGATATCTATTATTAAAATATGTGAAGTCAAGATCACCAGCTTCTATGATGCTACAAAACTTTATTTCAATGCATTTTATCAGCAACGTGTTGATTTCAGGTCAATACAATATACACAGTTAACCTATTCTACTTTATACACAATATGTATATGTCAACTGAAGATTATTTTTGTTGTACGTTAAATGATGTTCATAGTATTGTACGCAATGGCAGTAGTGTCCCAGTCAACATGTATTTCTGATTTTAGGAGTGGTGCTGTGACTGTCACTTCAATGGGTGATCTCTTGAAAAATAAGGAGGTGGGATTGTTTTGTTTCGAAACCCTAAAATCTATTTTAATAAAAACAATATATATTCTAGATTATTTATATCTAACCAAGTACATTATGTATGAGTGCAGGATGGTGAATTTTATGTTCCAACTGAAATTGTAGGCATTGAAGGGCCTTTTGGCTGGGTGTACATCTTTTGCATGTCACTAGGATGTAACAGAAAGCTCAAGGAAGATGAAGATGATCTAGTTTGTTCAACTTGTGAGAAAAAAAATATATAAAAAAAAAGGAATGGCTAGGTATAGGGTGATAGTGAAGGTTCTAGATAAATATTTTGGAGATGCTCCCTTCCTTTTATGGGATAGGGAGTGTTTAGACTTTGTGGTATCCCTGCCAGCATTTTGTACAAAAAGTATAATAAGGTAAACTTACAATCCTAAAAAAATGTTAATATGATAAACTAACATTCATATAGTTTATTTTTAGTGGTCTGTTTATAAAAAAATGTCATTTGTCATTGTTTTAGGGGTCTGATATTCCAAAAGAATTGGAATCCTTAATTGGAATGGCAATGATATTTAAGATATCATTAAAAATGGATCAAATGAAGGGAGCTACTCTAGCCTTTACTGTTATGAGAGTTTTGAGGGATGAACTCTTAGTCTCTACGTACTGTTCAAAATTGAAGGAAAACCAAGAAAAAGATTTGATCTCTAAAATGATAGATGAGAATGAAGAGGAAGATGATGAATCAAATCAAGTAATTATTTGTACTTCACAAAAAAAAAAAAAAGTCTTTAAAAAATAATTTTGATGTTAAAAGTTTATATTTTAAAAATTAAAAGCTTCTAATGGAGCCGTTGGATTATTTTATAATTAGTTTTATTATTTCATTAGAATAATTAAATTAATTAGGATAACTATTTTAGATTTAGTTTGTTATGTTTATTTTAGTATTTGTATTTATCTTAAGATTAATTTTGTATTTATCAATTTGTAGTTTGTTGGGATTTTAGTTATTTTGGGGATTATAGTCCTAAATTACTAAAACTCTACAACTATAAATAGGGAGACAAATTATGAATAAAATAGATTCGTGATGAATTTTTGAGAATGAAACTGAGATGGTTTTCTAGAACTCGGAATGAGTTCGGTCATGAGTGATTCATGGCATTACTGACTTAAGTGTGAAACCCCACTTGTGGCGTCAAATCATTCTCATATAGCTCTATAACCGGGCGTTGGGCGAGAATCAATTCAAAAACCACAAAAACAACCCTTACCCAACCTAAATTAAACCTTCAAGTCAGATTTTACCTAGCCTAATAAACCTTTCTAAAATATTATTTTTAATGGGAATGTGAAGAGAAGATCGGGCCAACTAAATTCGTATCATGAAGTAAACAGCCCAAACAGTGCAGAACAGTCCAAAAGGCTTAACACTGACTCTGAAGACTCAAATGCTGTGAAGAGATCCCTTATGGACCAATTCTCTTCATCAAACAAACTTAAGAAGACAAAAAATGTGACTGTTAAACAAGAAAAAATTTAATTTCTGGGTGTATTCCAGAACTGGTCATTGGCTTGAGACGATATACTACCTTTGTGTGGTAGTTTATCTTTATTGTGGTCTAGTATTGCGACATTTTGAATCAATAGCACTGTGGCAGGCAGCATGGTTGGCGCGCCTCAGTACGCCTCAGGGCGAGGCGGTTCGATATAGCCTTGAGGCGTCTGCCTCTCAGGCAATGTTAGAGGCGGACGCCTCAGGCACGCCTTAGGGCGTGTCTGAGGCGTGAAGGGAGGCGTGAAGGCCTTTTGTTAGAAAGTCCAAGCCCAATACAAAAAATAAAAGCCAACCCAATGACCCAATCAACCCTAGACTAAAATTAGAATTTAGAAGTCAGTGTAATAATTCAAAGAAAAGAAACGGGAAGTGCGATTTGCGAATAGTGGAAGACTGCGAAGTGCGAACTCATTGTGCGACGGACCTCCCCCTCCGGCAACCTCCCCATCCGACGACCTCCCCCATCCAGCGACCTCTCCCTCATCCGGCGACCTCCAACCCTCCAACGACAGGTGATGCATTGATGCGTCATTTCTCATTTTATTTCATTTTTTTTTGGGTTAAACTAATAAGCTGAGTAGGTGTTGTTAGAGTATTATATATATGTATAATGTATAATGTATATAAGTATATAAGTAACATAACTAATATTTGTGATAGGATTTTTGGCAGTAGTATACTAGTATATCATATATGCACTGTGATATAGGCAGTAGGCAGTAGGCACTTCGAATTTGTGATATGTTTTTTTTTAAAATATTAATGTGTTGAATATTATGAATTATTTGTAGGTTGAAAGATGGATTGTTTATAAATGGTGAACCACTCAAAAAAGAGTAGTGCAGGAAGTGGTTTAGGCAATCTTGGAGTGTCTACCGGTTCAAAGAATAAAAAAGATCCAGCTTGGGATCATTGTGCTGAACTTGTTGAGGATGGTCAAGAAAAAAGATCATATAAATATGTTATATGCAATTACTGTAAGAAAGTCATCACAGGCGGAGTGGCACGGATGAAACATCATCTCGCTGGAACAAAGAAAAATGTCAAGCCTTGTAACAATGTATCAACAGAAGTGAAACAAAAATTTGTTGATATATTAAACAAAGTTCAAGCATCCAAGAATTTAGCACAGATGGAGTTTGAGCAACGTGTGGACGTTGGCTCATACTTTGGAAGCGGGAGGGAAGCTGAAGGTGATGATGGAAACAATGTGGCTTCTGGTGGTTTTGGTTCTGGTTCTATCTCTACTAGAGGTATCCGGGGACCGATGGATAGATTTATGATGAAAGACAGTTCTAGTTGGGACCAACCAACCACAATTACACCCCAGAATGCAAAAGAACTTCGTAACACTAGTACAAAATTGCAGATAGGCAACCATTGTAAAAGACAATAGGCGACCATTGTACAATGGTCGCCTATGAGAGGCTCGCCTAAAGGCATCGACTTTACGCGTCCATTGTGAAATGGTTGCGCATTGTTAGTAATACGCGACCGTTCTTGACAAAGAACGGTCGCGTATTGTATTTTTTTTTTTTTAATTCGCATAAGTCATCCGCGACCATTTTTGGCTAGGAATGGTCGCGAATGACTTTTAATTTTTAATCATTTATTTAATTAAATTAAAATCCCTAATTTTTTTTTTATAATTCCTTTATCAGGTATAGCTTATTATTCAAATCCTATCAACATTACTCCACAATACAATTTATCTATCAACACACTTTAAAACAATACCTTTAACACAAACAATGCAAATACTATATATCATCAAATTAAACACAATGCAAATATACTATCGTCAAAATACAATATATAACACTTAAAATCTTCAAACTTTAATACAATTAGACCAAAACATGCCCAACTCAATACTATCATCAAAAACAAAATACTTTTTATCAATAAAATAAAAGTTATAAGCACTCAGAAAAGAAGAACTTTGACCAATGCTCTTGAAGCTCATTTATGTCGTCGATAGAATACGGACTATCGCTTTCAAATGCCTACAAAAAATTAAATTAATAAAATTATTAAATTTGTTAATTAATAAAATATAACTTAACTATACATAGTTCTATTTAAATCCACTTACCTCATCCAAATTATCAACAGATGAATATTTTGTCACGAGATATAAAAACTATACTCACATAAAAACTACCACAAGGAGAACGCTTACCTTGAGTTCGCTTGCCATTTGCTCATTGTCTGTGTTTGGGACTCCCCATTTCAAAGCAATTTTTGCTATATGACATTTCTCCCACAATTTAAACATTGCTCCGGTCAATCCTTGGAGTTCTCTATTTATCCCTGAGGTTACATGGAAATAAAATTGTCAGACTCGAACATGAGACGCCACAAATTACAAAAGCAAGAACAAAATACCAAGCAAACAATGAGTTGGCAAAGGACGAGCAAGCTTCCTCAAGTACGTTAGCTCATATAAACGTGGTTTTATTGGGTGCCAAAGGTCCCAAGAGCATACACTTATAATTCATGAAATGGCCTTAAAATATACCTGCTTGATTGGCCTCAACTTCAGTAATACATCACTTATTTCCATCTTAAGTTCTCAACCTCTGAATCCTCAGCACTAGAAGCAGTATTTTCTGAGCTTGCATAACCAAGAGAACATGCACTAGCTGGAAAGTAGCATTAGATTTTCAATCTTCCAATGAGCATATAACTTTGCTTTTCAAGAACTGCCTGTTAAACAACCAAGTCACGTGAGGTAGTCATCATAATCTCCTCATAATCTATTCAGATGATAAAAATGTTATTCTTAATCAGAAAAAGCAATGAAACCATCAAGAAACTTAATAATTTTACACAAGACTTCTCTACAGATAATGACTTGCATATTAATGGCATCAATAAAGAATGTAACAGAGTGGCTAACTTCATAATGAGGGACCATAAACAGCCAAGCTTGGCGTTATAGGGGTCATAATGTCAAAGAAGATAAAAGATAGGGACCAAAAGAGGAATATATATCCTTATGTCTTGTTCATTGTTATTATGAAACCATCAGTATTTTCAAGTCGCTATAACACTGCATTGTCTTAATCTGGCAATATTTCTAGGCAGAAATAAAGAATAGGAGTTGAGGAAAAAAAGAAGGAAAATGCAGGTTTGGAAAAGCTTTTTCCACCATACTGGTCATGGATAATGCTTATTAAGCCAGCGGCACCTACTAAAAATTAAATTGTTGTGATCACTGCTTAATTAAAAATAAAATAAGTCTAGATAAAGAACATGAAGTAAATGAAATAACTTGCCTCCATGTATGAAGTTCAACATCTTTCGTATGTCCTTTCATTAAAAGTTTGCACATAGTTCACAAGATCAGCCGCAAATTTAGGCATTGCTTGAGCCCAGCCAAGTACCTGCACAAAAAGACTAAATTTCAGTACAAGAATTTGAGAATTTCAATTAAACTTATAAACCAGATAACGAATAAGAATAAGACAGCCCATGTCAGAGGGAAATAGAGACAGTTCAAGAAAAAAACATACCAAATCAAGCAAAGTGTTCTCATTTATATTAATTTGTTTTCTTCAGGTTTTCAAAGTGAATTGGGATGAATCTTTCATTCTGCCCAGTTTGTACTTTCCAAGAATACAAGCATAAGTTCATAAATTATAACAAGCTCAAACCATGTAACAGCTTAAAAATCTACAGAAATAATTAACAGATACCTCTTTCGCTAAAAAGTCTATTGCCAAAAGTCCTTGTAACACAGGTCGTCCTTTCTCAATTGAAGAAGAGAAAGAAGTCGCAGCTTGTGCTCGTGGTCGAAATGTAGCTGGGCCTGTAAAGCAATAGTGGATGCTTATACTAGCAACAATAGTCATTTGTTAACCTGTATTTCTTCATATCAAGGCATAATTGTTGTATTTCATATCATTTCTAGAACAGGTGGAAGTATCACGCAATATTGATGCATGATGCCTAATTTATACTTGTAATTAGCACACTATCTCTTTCTTAGGGGCAGCTGGTATTAACTAAGGTAAATTGAGAGAAGTGTCATCGGACTTACTTGCTATGGCCTGTTGTACAGCTTTCTTGTAATCTACAAACATTGCTGGTAAGAAGTGATACTTCACAAAGTTCTCAACAAATGCTAGCAACCCATCATTCCTGCAAATGTCAATTGCATTACCATTACTTCAGATCATTCCAATGTTTAACAGACCTCCATTTGAAACGGAAAAAAATGAGAGGGGATATCCAGCGCATTACCTTAGGTGCACCAATTCCTTCTTGTCTGACTTCAATACATTACCATGAGAATCAATTCTTTTCATGAATATATCATGTCTCTGTTAGTCATCATGAGGAGAACTATGAGCATAAGAGCAATGGCAGACAAGAAAAGAAAGAATCAAAAGATCATAAAAAAAGAACATTTTACACCACATACTATGTCAAGATGTTGCTCCCCACTAATATCCATGGCATCTACACTAAGTAATGAACACCTGATGGCTGGAAAGGTGACATCAAACTGCACAAACAAGTAGAAATAGTAATATAAGTCTTCAAAGATAAAGATAGATCAGGCACCAAACTTATTGTTGCAAGTACAAGTAAAAAACATGGTCAGGAATCAGGATTGTTGGAGACTTATGTTAGACAAAAACATCACAATTCATACACCATGAATATCATAGAAATAATAAAAGTATTGAACTTTACACCCAATAGTGCCTCACAGATACAAGGTTTAACCAGAGGAACAACAGAAAGCATATGGTGAAAGCATTTCAATTTCAATACTGCATAAAGTAAGGAACTTTTCATTGATATGCAATTTTTCTCCTCTTGAAGTGTCTACAATAAGCCTAGTCTCAGTAACAGTATGGAGATACAGTCCTGCAATTCAATTCAACAACATAACCTCCCAATCAAAAACCAAATATTCCATAAAATTAACCAAAATAACGATCAAAATGCTTCTAGCAGAAATGTCTCACTGATCAGAAATATCGCAATGGGTAAATCAAGCTGGGAGAAGAGCGAAAAATACTGAACTCGGAGAAGAAAAGCAGGAGCATGGCGATGGAGGAGACGAGGGTGATAACACCGCCGGAGAGGGTACGGTTGTAGAAATCCTCATTGATTTTCGGGTAAGCATCCAAGTTCCTGAGCTTATTGAATACTTTATCAGAAATATCAGAAATCTCTTCCCTTTACCGCCCCGGACGTGGCTCGTCGGCTTCTGCAAAAGGTAGACGACGGCACAGCGAACGACAGCGAAGGAAGCGAGAGTACGGAATTTGGTGCAGATGGCGTCAGACGATCGGCAGATGGCGTTGAAGATCAGAGATCGGCGTTGGAGACGGCGTCAGACGATCGGCGTTGGAGACGGCGTCAGACGATCGGCGTTGGAGACGGCGTAAGACGATCGGCGTTGGAGACGGCGTCAGACGATCGGCGGCGTTGGAGACGGCGTCAGACGATCGGCGGCGTTGGAGACGGCGTCAGACGATCGGCGGCGTTGGAGACGGCGTCAGACGATCGGCGTTGGAGACGGCGTCAGACGATTGGCGGCGTTGGAGACGGCGTCAGACGATCGGCGGCGTTGGAGACGGCGTCAGACGATCGGCGGCGTTGGAGACGGCGTCAGACGATCAGCGGCGTTGGATGAGACGGCGTCAGACGATCGGCGTTGGATGAGCAGAGGATGATCGAGCAGACGGCGCGGTATGAGATCTGATGGAGCAGACGGTACGTTGAGAGGATGAGCAGATTGATCAGATCTAATGGAGCTAGCTTAGTGATGGGTAGATCTAGGGTTAATATTAGGCAATCATTTCTATTAGAAATGGTTGCCTATTATAAAACAAGTTCTATTTTAAGGCAACCATTTCTATTAGAAATGGTTGTCTATTATAAATTAATTTTTTCAAAAATAAATACAAAATACAATGGGCAACCATTACAACTAATAATGGGGGGTGGATTATTGATCACTTATTTACAAAATTGTCACCGCGAATCTTTGGGCTAAGATTAGGTAACCATTCTTTCAACAATGGTGGTCTATGGTCCATCTTCTATGTTCAATTTTGTACTAGTGTAACCAAGTTTGTTTAGACATTGGGAGGTTTTTTTTTATGAGAATGCAATACCTTTTAATGTGGCAAGGAGTCCTTCATTTGTCAACATGCTTCGGTCGGTTGGCGCATATGGTCGGGGATTTAAGCCTCCAAGCATGTACGACCTTAGGACTTGGATATTAAAGGAAGAGTTGACAACAACAACAAAAATTATTGATAACATTAAGAGCACATGGCCACCTACCGGAGTTTCAATCATGTCTGACGGTTGGCAAGATATTAGACATAGGAGTCTAATTAATTTCCTTGTCATTAATCCTAGTGGTACAGTTTTTTGGAAATGTGTTGATGCATCCGAGCATGTGAAAGATGCTAAATTGTTGTTTCGGTTGCTTGATGAAGTTGTTGAGGAAGTTGGAGAAGAGCTTGTGGTTCAAGTGATAACGGATAATGCAAGCAACTACCGGGCAACGGGACAAATGCTTATGGAGAAAAGGAAGCATTTGTATTGGACTCCATGTGCTGCACATTGCCTTGATTTAATGCGAGAAAAAATTGGAGAGCTACCACAACACAAAAATGCTTTGATCAAGGCAAAGAAAGTGAGCAACTACATTTACAATCATTCTTTGGTTTTGAGCTTGATGAGGCAATTCACTAACCGAGAGCTTATAAGGCCAGCAACTACTAGATTTGCCATCGCATACTTGACATTACAAAGTATTTATCAAGTGAGGCAACCATTAGAGGGTATGTTCACTTCTGAAAAGTGGACAAATAGTAATTACGCAAACAAAGCTGATGGGAAGGAAATTAGAAGAATAATTTTGAGGGATAACAACTTTTGGCCAAGTTTAATCTATGCTATCAAGACTACAAAGCCTTTGGTTGAAGTATTGAGGCTAGTAGATGGAGAAAAAGAGCCTGCAATGGGTTTTCTTTACAATGTTATGGATGAAGCAAAGGAAAAGATAGCCAAGAACTTGGGTGGAGAAGAAAAGGATTATAAGGAGATATGGGATCTCATTGATAAAAAATGGGAGATTCAGATGCACCGAGATTTGCATGCAGCTGCTTACTTTTTAAATCCCCGTTGCCATTATGCTCCTGGTTTTTCTACACATGTTGAGATCAAGCGTGGCTTATTAGATTGTTTAGCGAAGCTCATACCCAACATAGATGAAATGGAGAAAGCTGACGTACAATGTAGTGCTTTCCACGCTCAACAAGGATTCTTTGGGTTGACTCAAGCTAAAAACACACTCTACAAGCGAAGTCCCGGTAATTAAAGTTTAAATTCTTACTTAAATAGTTAAATATGAGTGTTAATTATAGATTTATAGTAAATTTAAATACTTAATGCTATATTGTTATTATTCTTTTAGTTGAATGGTGGACTCAATATGGAGATGGCACTCCCGAGCTTCAAAAGTTTGCCATTAAAGTGTTAGGTCTCACTTGTTCTTCTTCTGGATGTGAGCGCAATTGGAGTGCATTTAATCAAGTGCAAACCAAAAGAAGAAACCGTTTGACCACGGCAAGGATGAATGCTTTGGTTTACATCTTGTACAACAAAAAATTGAAGGATAGGCATTTGAAGTTGAAGTCATTGGGAAATGATGAGGATAATTTGTTGATTGATGAGTTGCCATCGGATGATGAATGGCTTGTGGGTGAAGATGAATATGGTCCCAACATAAGTTTAGATGACATTAATGTTGATGTTTTTGAGGGGGAGGGGCCATCACAAGCAACTCAAGCTCAACCAATTGAATCCTCAAGCAAGAACTCCAAGAAAGCTAGTGCACAAGGATCAAATAAGGGAAAAGGAAAAATGAGACTAATCAATGAAGATGAAGAAGATTGGGAGGATTTTGATGAAGATAGTGACAATGGGAATGATGAGGATATAGACAATGATTCTCTAGATGAATTTATATTGTGATTTATGATGTGTTTGACTGTTTGTTTGAATGTTTGATTGTTTGTTTAGTACTTTAATCTTAGATTGTTATGCATTTGTTTGCTTTAGACTTATATTATGTTTGATGTTTTGTGGTGTGTTTCTTTGAGACCAATGAAACTTTTAGCTAATGAATATTAATCTTATATTTTGGTAAATTTTATGAATAATGTTTACAGGCTTACAGCTTACTAATATATTCTGAGGCTAAAAATTGAGGCTTACGCCTCGCCTCAAAATAGAAAACGCCTCAAGGCACGCCTCCGCCTTTTTAAACCTTGTGTGGCAGTGCTATCAAACCTACTTTTTGTTGTTGATTGGACTAAGTTTGAACTCTTTGTTGGTGATTTACCTATTTCATATGTTTTTAAATCATTCCTAAACATCTACGTTGTACTTTCTATTTTTCTGTATATCTAAAGGTGTGTTTGGTTCGTACAATGAAATCGGAATCGGAATGGGTATCAAATACTTGGTAATGGTAATGGGTTTTGGTGAAAGTATTTAACATGTTTGATAGTATGGTGGAATGGGAATGGTTACTAATAGTAGTGCTTGAGAATGAATAAGGACATGAAACTCTTATTTTATTTGGGTATGGGTTTTTTCAATTGATGGGGTATTCGAAACCCATAGTAGTGTTCTAAAAACCTATCAACCAAACAATAATAATCACTTTCATACCCATTCCTATGGGCAAAACCCATCAACCAAACACACCCTAAATGTATGCAGGAGGAGTAATGGGCATGTGGGAAGATTTCTAATTATGTATACAGACTTAACTAATTCATTGCAGCATGGTTTACATCTATACACGGTTGTGCATACGTTGTTTTCTATTGTTTTTTGCAGGTAGTGGAGCACCTTCCTAATGGCAAACATAGAAGATGATGTTCTAGAGGGATGACTAGAAGATTGTCTATGTACTTTATAAGGATTGTGTAAGGGGGAATGTCAAAGGAGAACAAATAAAGAAAACAAAATGGCCTCATTCTTAAGATCCCTGATATGCATTAAAACAACTAACTGAGCATGCCAACATCATAATTTTCTATCCCAAAAACCAATCAGGCATTCAAATATCAAGCCTAATGCAATGTGAGTATTGCTATCATCATGCAAATATGTGTATATTCTCAAATAATCAACTTTTCAAGTTGATCAAATGATTCAAGATACTGAAATTGACTTAAAATTTCAGGAACTTTGACCCAGATTGCAAAATTTTCTGGGGAAAAATGGTAATACATTTTGACACAAAATTTTACAGATACAAAGTTGCAAGTTTAGAATGTACATGAAATAAAAGTTTTAATGCCAATCAAATGTCTGGAAGTATTTTTTCCAAAAATTTTTCCAACATTGCTCCAGGCAGAAAATTAACTGGCAGCACACTTGCCAAAACTTAACAAATTTATCTGGAATAACCAAAGCATATTTTTAACAAAATCTTTTTACAGACATCAAATACCACAAGTCTAGGTTCTCCAAAAAAATTTCAGGCCAAAAGGAGTTCAACAGATATTTTTCACGAATTTAATTTCAAGCTTCGTCGATAAGAATTTTTCAAGCATGCCTCAAATTTTATGCAAATAAATTCAACACTCAAGAGGTGCATTGTAATCAAGTACTTATAAAAGCTTTGTGGCATGCAACAAGACATGATTTTGGGTTTAATCATACTTGAACTATTATGATTGGAAACAGATGTCAAACTGATGCCATTCTCCGTACTAAATATCAGAAAGAATAACTTTTTTCATTTCTTCCTAGTATATGCAAAAAGGAATTCCTATTCCCAACGTTAGAAGGTCCAATAATGATATCAGTAGAGACAAAACCTGTATATGAATTCCACATAACATTTGAAAATCAGAAGCCAGCTTCAAGCTCAAAGGAAAGACAAATGATGAATTGAAACACTCAACTGAGCATCCTCATTTTACTATGCAAAGCTGCAAATTTGTTAAACCTTGAAATGTGATCGCTAAGCAGAGAAGAGAGGAGACTATTTGGATGCAATAATGCTAATATCTCTTAGCCTCCATATTATTTAATATTGCTTATGGACTATAGCAATTAGTCAAGAATGTATAAGGAAAACCTTCTGCTAAGCATGTCTTACAGTTGAACATTTGAATAAAAATGCCTTTGTGAAAGTCTCGTTAAAGACACTTATTAGGTTCAAAGTTACTAGATACTCCATATTCAGTATCACAGAATCACAGAATAATAGAATATAGCAAGAAAGGGTATCTCATTAAACCATAGATTATAATATAAAAGAATACGATGAAAAAGTACCGTTCACCGAAGACACGGACAAAGCCGAGGAGACCGCCATTGAAGAGGCGAGAACTCCATTCTGTAACTTGTGGAACCAGTCTCCACGGAATTCCCTTGAGGAGTAATGGCATCACTGGCTAGCTGGCTTTAAAAATTTTCCATAATCAAATCTATACGGCAAATTATAAGAGGCTGATTCCCTTCAATTATCTAGGGAAGGGATTGATGCAGCAGTATCGCTATTGTCGTGGAGAACAATCTCCCACCGTCCCAAGTTCACCGTCACCTGTAACGACGGTGACTCCGCCACCATCCAATCTTCGATCTGCCAACTGGATCGCGAGAAACTGGATTGAGTTCGCAATATTCTGTGCGATTGGCGTAAATAAAGGGCTACATCTTCTCTCCGGCGGCGATCAGATGGTTGCAGGCCGGCGATTCACCCCTTCCACCATCGCAATCCATCCCAACATCATTGCAATCCACGATCCGAAGATCGGTAGTCTCCTACGACATTTTGCGATCGTGCCCCTTTGTGACGAACGAACCTAGGGTTTCGTCTCATGGCTTCTCGTCAACGATCGACGCTGCTAATCCTGTCTTGGAGGTCGCAATTGAAGTCGTCGGAGAAGGTGTGGAATCGGTTGTGACCGATCGAAATCACGATCAATCGCCAATCGCAATTTCGGGCATCTTAGGCAACTTGGTCTCTCCTCTAATCGCTGATAACGTGTTAAAAGAAAAACAGAATAGAGAGATAAAGGAGAAAAGAAAAATCTCTTATTCAATACAAAAAAATCGTTACAGCCTTTATATAATTTATAATAATGTCCATAATATATTTATAACAGTTAATTTATAATAATGTCCATGATATATTTATAACAGTTTATTTATATTAATATAGTATATTATATTAAGATAGTTAGGATTAGAAATGTTTATATTTCTAATTATTATAATTGTGCTTTTTTAGTTATTAGAATTATTATATTGTCCTAACAAATTGTGTACTTACATAAACAAAAGAAGTTCCTAATTAGTTGTTGTAAATATTACATTTTCTTTAATGCTATCATATGCAATGTCCATAAACAAAAGTCAAGGTCAAACATTGTCACATGTCGGATTGTTACTAAAGAAATCGGTGTTTGTACATGGCCAGTTGTACGTGGCTGCATCTCGAATTAACAATCAGACGGTCTGAAAATATTCATGGTAAAAGACTCAAGTACAATTACTGCATATAATTTATTATTTGTTATATTTATGTGAAGAAGAAATATTTTGAAAACATATTCTAAAACATTATTATGGGCACGAATATATCTATCATAATAATACGTTGCTTTGAGTTTATGGGTTCCCTTTTTTAGCAATTTTTTATATAATTCTTTAATTACCTATCAATTTTAATTTATTATTTAATAATTTCTAATTATTTTATTTCGTTGTATGCAGAAAATGTAGAAAATTCTCTATTAGCAAACAATAACAATGCTATTGTGCAACAAAATAGTTCTAATTCATCCACAAGATACACACCACTGTGATATTCTACTTCAAATATGTAATAACCCAAAATTTTATTTTATAAATCCGGTATTAAGAAATCCCAAAGTAACTTTTTCACTCCATTAAAAAATTTTGCGATCAATCGGTGTATGAATAAAATAATTTTTGTCGCATTTTGAAATTAATTCGACACCGAAGAAATAAAATCTATTCGAAAATTCCAAAGTTTTCGGGTACTTCACGTACCAAGATTTAAATCGAGAATTTTATCTGAGTGAGACCGGGAGTGTAACACCCCGCAAATCCAAATTCTATTTAGGGATTAATTAAGTAATTAATCCTAATCTAATTGGTAATTTATTTTTTAAATTCCTGAAAATTTAATAGTCGCGGACTAGTAATTGACTAGTCAACCCAAGTCAATGAGTTGTACTCTAAGCTTTGTGAATAGTTCCCTTGTTCCCTTACACTTCTTCATCTTAGTAAGGGTAATGAAGACATTTCACCTCATGATTATGTTCCAAGCTAACATAGAGTTGCCTTTCATTCTTTCCCTTACACTCTCAAAACAAAAAGCTCCTCCTTCTCTCTAGAATTTAGCTAGCTTTTTCTCCAAGCTAAGTTGGGCATTCCAAGATCTTCCAAGTTTGTCTTCAAGATTCCACCTTTCCTACTCTTGAGCATCTAGGAGGGTAAGATCTATGGTCCTTTTGTGTTTTTAGTGCTTTCTAAGGTATCTTTTTCTAAAGATGAAATTTTTATGGTCTTTTGGTGTGTTCTTGAAGTTGGGGTTGAAGGAGAGCCTTGTTAGGAGCTTTAAAGGTGTATTAAGTGAAGGTTTTGACTACAAGAGGTAACCCATGCTTTACAAAATCTATTTTACTTACCTATATGAAGATTTCTTGGATTCTACTTGTGATTTTGCTATGAAATGTGAGTGTTGATGCATTGTCTTGTGAAAATGCATATGTAGAGCTTGTTATTAGGGTTCTTGCATGCCATTGCTTGGCTATTCCTTTGATTCAAGTCATTTTGTTGTATTTGGTGACATTTTGGGTGTTTTGGACTTGAATTTGAGCTTGGTGTTGAAAATCCCCGAAGGGATTATTTGGTACAGGGTTGTGTACCCGCAGGCGGAACGGCAGGTAGGGGTCCACCCGCCGCCCCACCCGCAGGGT